AATAGACACCACCGACTGTGAATACGTTGCCTAACGTGATGGGAAATCGCGAATTGTAGCAAACGCTGACTCACTCACAATGGACAGAACTTTCAGATAGTTTTCCAGCTGAAATAATTCACTGAACATTCTGTTATCTACATGGCCTTTGGGGATGCAAAATATTCGGAAGTGCAGTCCTGGAAACAACTTTTGCTCGGTAATTGCCATTGCCAGTTAAAATTCCGTAGTTCACGTTCATTATTGGCAAAACGTCGTGCAAGTTTGACTGTAAAAAACAGAGTTTTCTATTTGGGTTGCGAATTAAGTCAGGAGGACCTCGACGTCAAGTGAATAGCCGCGTGGGACCAACCACGATCATGGCGGACAGCTGAACGAACCTAGCTGGCGCACATGGCTAACATGCGGCTAGGGTTCACGATGCCTAATCAGATGGCCCGAGACCATACACGGATATCAAATGTTGCGCACGCGCTTCCTGATGGCTTTTCGGATATAAAAATAGCAAAGCATCGCCTCATAGTCTAACACAACTCTTTCGGCACCCATGTTGTCCATAACAGAAGTCATAACTAGATCATTTTCGCCCATTATTTCCCTGAATAAGTCGAACATTTTACACATAGGGCAAATGGTTCCCTCTCTACAAATGCATACATAACTGGGCGCCCCGTTCCCATGCCGCTATTATCAGGAAGGTGTGCAGCTTATATCTACAAGCCCAATAATATGTGCTTTTTAAAAATTAGCCGAAGCGTTTGTTGCATAAGTCCCGTCTGCATTCACCACATCTGGAAGGCGTCGTAACAACGCTATAGTGACTTTTCTCTGACTGCCACACATGCATGCGTCCAGTCTTCCGAGGTTTTGTCAGGACCGAAGGCATCTGCCACAAGAAAACTCAATTACGCAGCACCCACTCAACAAAGCCGATCGACGCTTCTGGCGGTAGTTGTAAGTATTCTGAATAATAAGGATCTTGCCGAATTCATTGGCCACAAACTGCCGAAAATCACGTGACGGCGTTCCACATTTCAGAAGGGCCTTGCACGTGCCCAACTCGTCTTCGGGTAGCCGTCGATTAACCGAAGGCCGATCGCATAAAAACTTTGACAACTAAAGGTTGTGCTCAAGAAAATGAAAGGTGACTGCCTGTTGGTCTCTTTGCCTCCGTAGAAAAAACCGCACTACAAGGCCGGTTCTTCGCATGCTGCATTTTAATTAGCAAATACGCTCGATATACCAGCCTCTTTGTATTCTCGACTTTTCGTTGGTCTTAAAAGCCGCTTGCTGTGTTTGTGGTACACTCATTCGGTACGCGGAAGAGCATTGGTTCTTCGGTCACTGGATGGACGCAAAAATACCACATAATTATTCTTAATGTATTTAGTTAAGTCTTTCTCGGATGCCTTGGAGTATAAGTAGGAGACAGCCGCAAATTTCCCAACAAACGCTTGTGAAGCCAATTCCGAAGCCATAGCGCAGCAAATTCAAAGACACAGGTAGCCGAAGATTTCGAAAGGAGCGTAGGTAAAACAAACTGCAAAAAATCGACGGCGTACGGTGGTGATTTTTGGACTGAGCCAATGTATGAAGACATGCAACATTTTGACGTAAACGTTTTTATTTCACCAACAAGAACTTTGTGGACAATGCATTGTGCCTCCAAGACGCGACTGAGTAAACGGCTCCGTTTCGTTCCGCTTTCGTTTTAGCGCCCTTCCACCTTTTAAATACTTAAGACGTTTATCAAATTCAAGCACATGATAAGCACACTCACTCGAGCAGCGTTTATTCAGTTAATATGTAATATGTAAGAATTAAGTTCCGCACGTATATCAGTGTAACCAGACGAACTAGAAATCTGTAATTCAGCACAGAGTAACAAGTAGCAAGTATGTATTCAAATTCGTGTATATGTACAGTATATGGAATATTACAACAAGAGAATAATGAGTAGAGTATCGACTATGTTCATCACACAATTGTGTGACACGCGGTCAAAATGTGCTACTTCGTTTGTTCGTATTCCATTCCATATAGAGCGGAGTCGTACGACTGAATAAAACGGATGGATCGCTAAAGCGGTTGCCTGAAGAAATACCTAAAAATATAGTGGAGAATCGATATCATTGGTAAACCATGTCTAACTTGCGTAGGTCGGGAATCAGGTATAAACGACGTTGATACTGCAGCTCGAAACGCAAGTGGGCAGATGATCACATGGTGAAGTGGTCTGGCTACCCAACAAGCAAGTTTGCCAGGAGCGTGTGACAATTAAATAAAAATAATAACGCTAGGTTGGGTTCACAATAAAAAAGAGGTCAGATGGAACAGACTCACTAACGATTGTTCTCTTTGAAATAGTCCGTCCTTTGCCCTGGTCAGCGAATAAACAGTAATCCAATCATGTTGGCCCAGAGGTCTTCTGAACAGTTCCCACATATAATAGATTCTGAGGAGAGTCTGGAGTATTTTGATACCGGTGTTAGTACATGAGACTCGCTAATGACCGCTGAAAGCACGAGCGAAATCAGAAGAGAGAGTCGAAGCACGTGACTACGCTTGTATTATGTGAAATTGTGCCGGTGCGCGTTTTTGTAGTTTTTCGTACTCAAACAAAAAACGATTATGCAATTGTTGAAATGCGTAGTGTTATAATGGAAGTAAAATAAATGTAGAAAACGCCACACAGTGAACTGGTGCCGATTAGAGGCCCAACGCACTCAGGTGCGAAATCTCTCAGTATGGAGTGACATTCCCGCGCCAAAATGTTGCATTCTGTCGGGTATGTTCCAAAAACCATCTTCACGTACGCATATGTTTTTGAAGCTCACCAAATTTCATTGTTCTTTGGAGCAATCATATCCCTGGCGGAAAAGTCTGGTGGAATAATTTCCCAGTATCGTTAAAACTCCGATATGCCTAAATGGGGCTAAAAAGTTTGGACCGGTACCCCTAACTCAATTTCTTGAGTGCTGTAATACATCATGGCAGGTCGCAGCTATTGAATATTCAATTCCATTGTGCGAATACTCAAAGCCGTGTGAACTCTTATTGCATTGAAATGAACTAATGTTCTCTGAACTGACCTTGGACGTTCGTGGTTCAAGGTTTGAACGTAGTGAGGTAATCTGATTTTCAGACAGCGATCACGCGACTTGCGGCGACATCCTGTGAACCTACATAACATTCTGCCATATTTAACCATCCTACTTGGTCGTACCGTCGTTGCAACCGTGGTGGCGGCGTCCTGCACGTCGTGGGCACCTGGAGCGCAACGAGAGCAAACGAGGAATGACCATTTGTAGCTCGATACCAGTTTATATACCATCCTGACTTTGGCCTTCATACACCAGTTGCCCGGTCCAGACCACAAGTCGCCGACTCTGTTTCTGACAACCGTACACATTATCTGAGCCACTCCTCGTATTTCCTCTTGTAAAGGCACTAACTTTATGAGATATAATTAAAACCCATACACTCTGATAAATAACTGGCACGTAAATTTACTCTTGCAAGTCCATGTCTACTTTTTGCGGACGACTTGAAATCCTCCAGTCCCAATGCCAGTGCCCTCCAAGTGGATGTAGACGCTGCAAATCAGTGGTCGTCGGACTGGCACCTTTTTTGAATAGACGCACCTTTTCTCATATTACTCGCATTGACTTCCAAATACTCTACGGGGCCTACGTCAAACCGCTCCTTGTGTACGCCAACCAATTTGTCTACTCAGGACTCACGAAAGACGTCACGCTCATTGAGCGTGTCCAGCGGGCCGCTACGAGATTGGTTGCCGGCCTCAAATCCGTAGGCCACGAAACGCGTCTCTCTCTTTCCCCTGGAGTACCGTCGCCCTCGAGGGGACCTAATTCTTACTTAGGCCCTGTTTGAACAAAGCTTGGCAAGCAGGTTTTTTACCGTTGACCCAGCAAACACACGGCGGGGACATAGTAATGAAATTTTCAAGCTCAGAGCGCAAACATTCATTAGGCGAAATTTTTCTCATTTCGGGTAGTAGCTGTGTGGAATGACCTTTCTCCGACGGTTGTCCACGCTCCTTCTACAACCCAGTTCAAAGCACTACTAGACATTTATTTGTGCGAATCCTCGCGGTGTCAAGCATACTTCCCCGCTCTGAGAGCATAAGGAGCAGTGCTACATCCTTTTTTCACTTGTGCCTTTCAGGTGAACGACAACCACTGAACGACAAGAACAAAACCTACCGGGAAACTTGGGCAAAAGCCTCGGTGCTGTGTGTCAATTTCGACTCACAGTATTTTACCAGGAGTAGGTATACACGCCGTTGAAGTAATCGTCAATCAAGTTGTCACTAAACTGAATTCATCTGTACTTCATCTAATTCCGGCTTCTATGACTTGCAGAGAACGTTCGATCCAGTCAATCATCGCTTTCTGCTAGGAAAATTGAAAGCCTCGGGTTTGAAGAAGAAGACAGCTGGCTGAGTGGGCACTTTCATTGAAAGGTAAAGATGATATCTTAGGTTAGAGGGGGTACGTCCAAATCAACCGAAATCACCGATAGAATCTCGCATTGTTGATTACTTTGTCACTTGCTCCTCCCTATGAATGACATTGAGATAGGATGGATGATTTGAAAGTACTTGGATCGTTATGCTATGGTTGGTGGCATGGAGGGAAGAACCTCGGGGGGAATTACAGTGTTTCAGGCTAAACAGTCTCGAGAGACGCAGTGCGCAAGAGGAGTTAATAGAACGTACAGGATGGTTGATGGCCAGTCGAGAGTATAAGTGAGACGGATGAATGGGAAATCTGGGTAATCTCCAACAAACTAGAGAAGGTTCGTTGCATTACCTATTTCAGAAAATCAGCCAACTGTTTGGGGGTAACAGACCCAGAAGTTTTGAGTGTTACCTCACTCCCCCCTCAAAAACAGTTGGCTCGGTATTGGCAAACTTGTTTTCCTGAACTCCTGTGAGGTGTGACGGCATACAGCGGGCATAGTACTTCCTCCGAAGGCATCTGTACAAAAGTTGTTCAGCTGTAACACCCTTTCGGTGCCGAGCTGCCAAACCATCCGAAAGAAGCACATTGGCTGGGATACTCCCAGGTTGTCCAAGCCTAGACAGGGGAAGTCGAGAGGTAGAGGTCGTGTTCGAACCACTGGCCTTCTGGTCGGTAAATTCGGGCTCTCCGACCACCTCCCGATTTCCACTTAAACATCCACAACAGCCTGCTAGCTGTTCAGTGGTACGACTCTTGGCGAAACCTGCATGATCCCAAGCTGGACAGTATTTATTGTCTGGAATGCGGCCAGATGAATGAAAAACTCCTCAAATTTGCTGACCAAGACCCCTAATTGATTCGTCCGAATTTATGGGTGTTTGAGCCTATGTCTACGAGTGACAGATGAAGACAAGAAAACAGAGTTCCACCCATCAGTTGGAGTGCACCAATTCACCTAGCCAAACTATCTTGACATTCCAGGTCGCCCCACATTGGCGAACTTGGGCTTTTGGGCAGTACACTTGGTCCGGCGTCCGGAATGAGGAAAGTCCTATCACCTGCCCCAAATCTGAGAAATTAGACCGCAACAAAGGTCTCTCTCGTTATCCATTGGATTGAGAGACCAATGTTTTATTTAGGAAGCAGAAAACGGTTCACAAAAAGATCCAGTTTATTCGATGGTATCCCGGAGTTAAAAAATAATCTCACAATTCCCTTTATGACTGATAAACAGACACCCTTTCAAGGCTTAACCAGTTCTAATAAAATGCGACCAGCGCAGCACGAAACAGTCATGGCAACGTCTTAGATTTGGCTTCATGTAAAATCACCGTTTCTGGTGTTGCACATACATGCTACAAAGAACTGAAACCATGTGCTGCTATCAGTATAACGAGGAAATTTGTCGACCCAAAGAACTGTGCGGATTTATTGCATGTGTCCAGTTCCAATCCAAATCCACTCGTTCACTCAGAGGTGGAAGCACCGGCTGCAAGACTGGGTGAGCTCGAACCCTAGCTTCATGGTTGCGGAGGAACCGGTTGAGGGTAGCTGTATCACTCCCTGTGGTCTCGCTAAAGATGATATTCCCATCCGGATTGGGAGGGCCAGAACAGCCTCTAAGGACCTGCGTCATCTGTGGCGTAGGCGTGACATCAGCTTCTCCGTCAAGGGTCGAGTTTACATTGCTTCGGTGCGCTCCGTATTGCTATACGGATCAGAAACGTAGCCGCCGCGCGCTGAGGACGCCAAGGCTTGCAGTATTTGACGATCGATATCTTCGGAGCATTGTCGGAATCTGATGGGAACACCGGATAAGCCATGGTGAAGTACGTCGAATGGTGTTCGAAGGAAATAACTCCCCTTCAATAGATGGACTAATCACACTGCGCTGGCTTGGCCACGTGCTGCGTATGCCAGTCGACTGATCTCCTCGAGGGGTCCTTTTCGCCCAACCACGTGATGGTTGGTCAAACAATGACGGGGCGAGATGCCCAAGTGGTTAGAGCGCAGGTTTGCTGACCGGAAGGTCCGTGGTTTGAATCCGACCTCCACCACTCGACTTCCCCTGTCTAGGCTTGGGCAACCTAGCAGTATTCCATCCCTCGTGCTTCCTTCGGGTGACATGGCAACTAGGCACCAAAAGAATGCTACAGCCGAACGGTTTTTTTACAGACGAAAACACTGGAAGAAAACCAAAACAAACGGTATTGTATTAGGCGAATTCCGTTCCACAGACCAATTTTCAGCTCCACCTCTGATGCACAACTTGTGACAAACCACGACTACAATCTTCCGAGTTTTGTTGACAGCCCAATCCCAGAAAACTATTTAGCAAACTACCTTGGCTGTATTGTCATCTAAACTTCAAACCTACCAGTCTTGTAGCTCCAACATGGACATGGCTAACTGACCAGGTCATTGACCAGGGGCTACAACTTCCCAAGGAATGAATTCTTCGAAAGGATGGACGAGCTAAGGTCGGCTCGTCAGCATCATCATCAACCGCGTACCTGTACACTAGTTATATCCGACACCGTTTCGTTCGATGGTGATTTGAGGATGTGGGATAGAGAACTTCACATGGGATTCGGTGGATAGTCTAATTTATGCGTAAGTAAAGGAATCATTCAGTTACAACCCCTTCAGTACCTAGTTACCGTGCCACCCGAATCATCATCGACAGCATGACATCAGTGTTCAACACTGATGCTTCACTGTCGTAATGCCACCCGAAGGAAGCACGAGGGCTGGGATATTGCCTAGACAGGGAAAATCGAGATGCGGAGGTCGGTTTCGAACCGCGGACCTTCCGGTCGATCGCGCTCTAATTACTGAGCCATCTCGCCCCAGAGGAGTATTGGCCACAACACCCGGTATTCCCAGCTGTTCACCCATACAAGTACTAACTGGGCCAAACGTTGCCTAATCTCGGTGATCAGATGAGAACGGGTGTTTCTCATCTCATGGTACGGTCGCGTTAGTAAAGGCTTATCGGTGGACTTTAATTTGGGGAGGGGGAAGCTATGCGATGAAGGTTATAGTTTGGATGCACGAGTGCCACTGGGTTGTGTCTGACAATGGCTCACCATTGATGCGTCCCGTTTCAAGGTCCCCATCCAGGGAGACGTCGATTACCAGCGCATTTGGGTTTGCTGGTAAAGGCTTTCATGCTTCGCTGCTGAGTCGGCTTGACCTCTCCTGGGTCGTTACCACTCTTCGTGCCGTTGTGCAAAATGATCTCTTCGAGGAAGCCGGTCGACTGAGTACATGACCGAGCTAGTGCAACCTATGGAGTGTTACCAGTTCAGCTATGGTGGGCGAATTATTTCTTCCGAAATCTATTCGATATACTTCAGTACTACTGATCCGATGTTCCCACCAGATTCGGTTGAGGTGGGGTGGTGGGGGGGTTTGGGCGAGAAAGCTCAGTGGTTAGAACGTGAATTTACTGATTGGAAGGTCCATGGTTCGAATCCGACCTCTGCCTTTGAGTTCGGCACGTATGGGACAGTGGGGGGGGGGTTGGGCGAGAAAGCTCAGTGGTTAGAACGTGAATTTACTGATTGGAAGGTCCATGGTTCGAATCCGACCTCTGCCTTTGAGTTCGGCACGTATGGAACAGTTAGAAACCACACGTCTAATATCGCTGACCGAAGAAGAGAGGTTCTTAGGACGCATCAAATATGCAATCCTCGTGACCCGGCGGTGGCATAATATGTTGTGAAGCTCTTCAATTTTTCCCATCCCAGCTATGTCGTCACAAAGGTTACGAGATGGGGCATCAACAACGCGGTTATCGGTTCCTGGTCTATAGACGATTTAGTTGCACCCTGCCAGTTCCACCGTTCACTCTCGTCATTCTTTATCTTACTCTTTTGTCGGTTCTCGTGCATAAATGCGACTGAACATTGATCCGTATTTAGTTTAGAATGTCTCCCGACGAGATAGTGGCACCGGTTGCGGGTCGCTTCGACGATAGTATATGCTTCTTTTCTGACAGCAGAATGATTTTTCTCGCTTTCAGTCAAGGTCCTGGAGAAAAAGGCGACTGGCCGGTTACCCTTGCTCAGGGGGGCACCAATAGCGATGTTGGAACCATCAGTTTCGACGATGAGAGGGATGTTGTAGTTGATAGTAATGACCATCGTATTCTCCAATTCTCGCTTAAGGTTCTCAAATGCTATTCAGACACTCAAGAAGCGGAAATATTTTGTTCTTAACCAGAGGATGAATTTTGTCAGAAAACACCGGTATCCATTGTGAGTAGTAAATGAACAGGCGAATGACTCTTTGCTGCAATTTTTCATCCTGTGGAATCGGGAGTTCTGTTATAGGGTACATGCGCTCTGGATCAGGTTTTACAATACCTTCCTTGGAAGCGCAACCCCGTTTGTCACCCAGAAAGGAATGCGCCGGAACTGATATAGCTTCCCGCCTGCTTCGAATGCAGTGAGTGGCTTGTCTTGCTTGATTATTGGAATCTGATGATATGCACTCTGGAGATCCAGCGTACTGTAGACGGTATACCGTGCGATAGTTTCAATCATTTGATCCAGTTTTGGTGAAGGTTAAGTGTCAAGGTAGATGATCGATGGTCTGGCTGTAGTCTATGATCATGCCTGTTGGTTCGTGTTGCGCGTTACGAGCACTCGTGCTCTCTATGGGGAATTTGATGCTTCGATTATGCCATCGGCGAGCATTCGGTCTGCCTTGGTTAGCATGAATCGTTCATCTTCCGGTGTATGACGACCAGATTTCGTGGCGATCGGTTTGTACTTCGCAGCAAGGTCAGTGGTTAAAGATGGAGATGTCAGTTTCACGGTTGGTACCCCACTTACACGTAGGGTGCCTGGTTCACCACCGAATGGAATTCCAACCCTATCATGTAACCCCAGGAAGTCACGTCTGAGAAGGACATCTGCATAGAGGTTCGGTACTACCTTTCGTATGTAGCATCCTTGTACTGGATGGACACAAGGTAATAACCTTTGGTAGAACATGAATGTATCGTCGACGCCATTGTTATCACAGAATCGTACGAAATAGTTTTCAGTTATGAATTTGTAGGATTGATGAACGAAACTTCTGGAGCTGCCGGAATCAATAAGAGCTCGGACAACGACGGCGTTGACCAAAATACCTCTTGTAGTTTTACTAGGCGATTGGGAGCAGCAGCACAGAATAACGAAGAGATTGAGGAGTCCTAAGCGTTCGTCTTGTAAGGTTGTCTGATCGGGCGTTGGAAGTATACGCACCTCGGATGTTTTTCATAGGCTAGCCCTCTCTCGGTTTCTTTCTTCTCATTATAAGGCTTTGTTCGAATAAATTGATGTTTGTATGGTAGTCAAGCGTCGGTGTTCTCATCTGATGTTGCTGTCAGTGATGTTGATGATGAGGATAACAAGCGTCACGTATACCATGCTAAATTAGAGGCTGTATTGATGTACGGTTTGGTAGACATGGCCTCTGGGGCAAACGATGCTAGTCCACTTCAGGGTTTTGATCGCTGATGTCTCAGGACTGTTACCGGTGTCGGATAGCGCCAACAAGTTCATAACATTGTGATTAGAAAACTGGTACCTCGTTGTGCGGCAGGTTTTTTTAGTCGCGAATAACATCTAGTATCATCAGATGCAATGGCTCAGTCGTGCGTTTTTTTCCAGACAGTTCTCTAGTCACAAACAGCAATATTGATGTTACTGGGGGGAGGCTAGATGGCCAAAGAGGTTAGATCGTTAAATTACTGACCGGAAGGCTCGTGGTTCGAACCCACCTCTGCCCCTGGACTTCCCTCGTCTAGGTTTGGGCAACCCGGCAGTATCCCAGCCCTCGTGCTTCCTTCGGGTGGCACGGCAGCTAGGCACCGAAAGGGTGCTACAGCGGAACGAACAACAACAACAAACATTGACGGTGCTGATGAACGAATGTCCATCAATCTGAACGAAGTCATCCAGTCCTTTGGCATGTGTTTCGCACCCACAGCGTTCAAGTTGACGCTGCGGGATATACGGTAGTTGATCATGCAGTGAATCATCTATGTTCTCCGGCGTTGTTGATGAACCATGTTTTGTTTTTGTTTCAGTGAACAACACATATCGGCAGTTAACTGTACGGAGGCTATCTCAATGGTTCCGACTTTCCAGTTGGTCTTGAAATCGACACAACTGCTATGACCGATTCGGGTTCCCTTCCGAATTCCTCGCAAGCGTCTGAGGCAAATCGGCATCAGCTGACAGCTAGTCTCACGTCCACTGATTTATCGGATCCGACTTTTCAATGCGGTTTGCTCACCTGGCGACCCCGGTGCATTCAACGTGCTGCAAATATCCGGGTATTTCTAGCTGCAGCCTGTTTCATCTCGTGCCTACAAGCCGCGTTTTCTGGCTACTGTGCTTCACAAGTGACCACACTAGAGAAGCGTTTCGCAGTAGGCAGTAGTGTTATTGGCGCAGTGAATTCATTCTTCGAAGTTGGATATATTATTTCTGTGATTTTCGTCAGCTATGCAGGTAGTCGGGGCCATGTACCGCTTTGGATTTCTATAGGATTGTTTGTGATGATGGCCGGTGCCTTGCTTTGGTCCGTGCCGCATTTCCTCTTTTCTTACAAGGCCCAGGGAGTCAGTACATCGGACGCCAGCGTCAGCGTCACGGGGGAGTCGTTGTGTTCCCAAAACCTCAGCCAAAAGGCTACTGCCAGCGAGTGTAACGATGAGGAAAGCTCTGGATATGGATTTTTACCCATCTTTTTTCTTGCTCAACTTTTCATTGGCGCCGGATCAAGCCCTATCTTGACTCTGGCCCCTCCGTTTATTGATGATCATGTGCATCCGACCAAGGCACCGCCTATGATAGGTCAGTTTCACATGCTTTTGTTTTCGCTCTGTAGGTTTTCAGGTATCTCGATGTATGAGGTCAGGTTTGGTTTGGTAAAATACCGTTTCTTCACAATCTTGTTGAATTTGTCGGACCTTTTGAATGGTCGGTACATCTCCGACGTTAACATATGTCGTTCAACCGAACCATAGCATCTTAAAATAGACTCAACCAAGGGTTCGGGCATTTTCTAGTCAAGGGCTTACATTCGAATCCTAATGTACTGCTTAGTCTCTAACTTCACACGTGAACCAAAAAAGCAACGGTAGCCGGTCAATTTCGTGGTGAGATCAGCAGGCTCGAGAAAGTTCACGCGCTAGCAGCAAACGAAGTGGATACTTTTGGAGACGCAGGCAGCTGTGTACAACCTTTCTCCAGGTAATCCGTGTTTTCGGCCAGCCAACCTGTTCATCCCCACGCTTGTTCTAAAGGTAACTGTGCTGGCGAACAAAAATGTCATGATATTTTGATATTCTAACTTGCGAGACCGGGAGTAGCCCTCCTTCAGACTTCAACCCCTCGGTGAGAAAATCTGAACTGTAAGGATCAACGTTGCCAGGATTGGATTTCTGAGGGCAATAATGATGCAAGCATGAGCTGTGAGTTTGATTGTTCTAGTGATGCTTGTTCTAGGATAGAAAAATGTAGCGACTCGTTCACAAATCTAAAGACTGTCGCTTAGGGGTGGCCTGTCGTTGTAAATGATATCTTCTTGTAGATCATACTCGGATAGGTCCGTGTCCAAAATAGAGTTAATGGCTCGCTAACGTTATCGTCATTCCGTTGTGTAAGTATATGTGTGTCGTGGATTCCGCGTAGAAAACTGTACGCACCAACCAAATTTAGGATTTTTCGGCAACTTTCAGTTTCCTTTTTTTAACTGCTTCACCCCTAATTCGATTTGTGATAGAGCCGTAAAACTTCCCCTGATTCTTTATATAAAAAATGAGAAAAATATAGGAAAAAATTATCCGGTTTATGGCTTGGGCTTCAGCATTTTCGTTCTGCCATAGTAGGGTTGGTTTGATAATCCGGGTGATACAAAGCACTTGATATCTCCGATATGTGGAACTTATGTTCGGACAGACTGTCTCGTTGGCCGCCATGTTCGTAGTTTGACGTTGCACGCAACGGCGACTGTTTTGTCTTTGCGTCAACGTTATTATGCAAAACATGGACACGTCTGAATGACTGATCGCCTTCTGTCAGTGCTATCTTAGTAGGAGGTAGTCAAGTGGTAGGTTGTTCCTCAAAAAAATCGTTAGTCGCCTGCATTACCGTGGAGAGAAACTCCGCCGCCTCTGGAATCAGAAAGCATCCTGTCTGGTTGTGATGTTTGGTTTCCTTTTAAGAGAGATTCTCTTGTTGGGTGGAGCAATATGCTAGCTTCATTCATCCTACTCGTACAGTACATACGTGAATTCCGTACGCTTCAACTTCTCTTTTCCTCTAGCTTCACAATACGCGGCAGCTGCAATGGGGCCGGTGCTTGGTTTCGCCCTCGGCGCAATGGTTCTCCAATACCCAGCTGAACTGTTCGCCAGACCGTTTATGAAACCAGATGATCCTGAATGGATTGGTGCCTGGTGGCTTGGGTTCATCATTTTAAGTAAGTCACTGTGTCGTTTGATGTAAACCCCACACCTCTGAATCCGATTATTTCCTGCCTGTCTTCCGTACCGCTTCAGGTCGATCCTTTTGCGGTCTGTTGTTGGGTTCAGGTCTGGTTGTAAGTATATTTTTTGAGACGGTTATGCATTCCACTGGATTGTGAAAAAGTCCAAGGTTAGTGAGACCCGTTTGTTTCGCTTGGTCGGTGATAGCTGTTTTTCCTATTCCAAACGGTGGGACATTTGAATACACACCTGCTCAAATGCATCTTCCTCTTGCCAAAGTTTGTTTCCTACACCTGGCAGATCACAATAACAAAGCTGAAGTGAGGTGCCACCGAATAATATGTTCGAATTATTAACGGACTGATACACACGAATATCACTGAGGTAAAGGACATGTCTTTTCCTGGTCCACAGTCGGTTTACTACACACATGATGACCATTTATTCTGAGCCACTCGCCCCTGACCCCTTTTGAACCCTTGACCTGAGGTCGCCTATACTTCCGAGTGGCCAGACATAATGCTGTGGACTAGAGGCGGGATACGTTCGTTCACTAGAATTTGCGTACTTTTAATTGATATCCATCCAGTGTTCAGTTACGTAGCCTACATAGCAATTAACGGTGCACGGTCACGTCGGGCTCACCAATTTGTTAGTGCTATTGTCTTTCACTCGAAGTAATATCAGAAGGTGAATAATACCAACAATCGACAGTTATGTATAGGGGTTACCAGAGATACTAGTACAATACATGAAAGGAATAAGAGGCTTATCGAGTTCTTCCTTTCGTTAAGTTGTTGTAGATGCAGCCGAGGTTTGTAGGACGCAGTGGAATTGAATACGGGTCTTGACGGAGTCTGCTGAAATCTGGCCTGTTTCTTTTCGTTTAATCCAAAACGATATCGAGCCCAGACTTTTCCTGCACAGTGACTCGTGCGTGGGTTTGAACTGACCCTAGTCAAGGCGCTGTGTGAAGTGACGAGCGTCGGCCTCCTGCTGTCGTTGTGAATGAGGATGCGCTTGCGTTGTTTGTCTTAAGATAAGGTTCCAATCTTCTCAATTAGTCGTGGGGCGCATGTTCATGACATAATCAGAACAGGAGTGAAACAGTGGGTGTGCATGCGTTAAACAGATTATGTGAGTGGATGAAGGTAAACATTGATGAGGTAGTAACCGAACTGTGAAAGCGGTTGAAGATAAACGTTGACGGGATGGTAACCAACACTTGAAGTATTCAACCACTAGTATTTTTAATGCACTAGTGTAACAGGAAGGCGAGAGAATGTAAAGCGAGGAAGTTTTATGGATGTGCTTTAATATTCAGAGGGTTCCTAACCTCGCCAAACAACCTAGACTCCATTCAGAGTCGCCAAGATAGTTAAATAAACTATTATATACTTGGTACCATTGCTCTGAATGACGCTGGCCTCTGGTGGGTCGGTACTGCTAAAGAGCATGGAACGGGTAGGCTTACGGTCGATCTACGATGTCTACTGTCAGAACCAGAAATGTATTTCAGTGCGTGAAGAGAAAGTTGTCCCCAAAATTCTGTACGCCGCAGAAGATGGTCACAAATTATGAAGTGCAGTAGTGGTTTTCGACAGTTATTCAACTACCCGGTCGCTCAAGGACGTAAGAGGACTACGTTGAGTCGGAATTAATTGATTGATGGATTAGCTCGCCGTACTGTGTTGATTGACATTCTAACTAGAAGCGACTGGATGTATAGAACATAAAAAGCCTAACACCGAGTCGCCTCCGCCCACTCTCTGACCCCCCATTTATTCCACAGTTTTCTGTTGTGTCGGGACGACCCGAGCCTGATTGCACCTAGGCAGTCCATAAGCTAGAGCAGTTAAGCTTCTTTGATTTGAGTAATCGTTTTTATCCATTTGATGGCCGCCTTATCCAGCTTTGCTAGTTTTCTCTGGTGTTCGTTCGGCCGCAGTCAAACGCAGTTTGGATGAATAATGGCGTTCAGATGAGCGACAAGCCGACTGTTAACACAAAAACTTGTATGTACCATCATTCTTTGTAGGTCGCTGTATTATGCACCTGAGTCTCATAAACACTGGGACAAACGCTGTTTTACCCCGTTATATTGACTCACTTCAGCTACAACTGTGCGTACACGGCTATTAAAAACCACGTATAAAACATGGGGTTGTCCTCAGAAGGGTGACTTGTATGTGTGTATTGGCACTCGACTCTTAGCAGGTCTCGACATGTTTGCCTACAGTGACACATCCGACCACTTCCAAACTTTTTATATCGCCAATTGAGATTTCATCCTGTCAATTAAGCCAATCGATGTTGAAAAGCCTAGAAGCACAACACAGCTGTTTCATCCTTACTGCGAATCATCATCAGTGTGCATCTCACGAACTTCCAGTGGAGAGTTTCGAATCCGTGACATTTCGGCTAGTGGTCCGAACACTGTTCGACCACGGGCAGTTTTGGTGTACTCGCACTAAGACAGGACATAGTGACAGATTACGTGGTCACGTATTGACTTATCATGTGGAAATTACACTCGTCATATGAATTATTCTACCTCCTGAACAACTTGTAGTTCGTTGGTAGAATTTGGAGATTTCTAAGAGTGGTTTCATTTTAAGTAAAGCTAATCCATGCTGAAAAACCGAAGAGTCCGGTACAGCTGTTTCATTCTTATTGTGAACCAGCAGCGGTGCACATATCCCCGTGAACTCCCGTCCGGCCACGTGCAGCTGATCAGCAGTGTGACTAACTCGGACTTTGTATTGCTGCATTTGTGCACAAGCTGCAGTGTTGACAAGCTAATCTGTGTCCGATACCAGCCAACCATTCCATATATGGCATCTTATTCCGAATTCTCCAAGAACAGGTAATTTTTTATCGTAGCAGAGAGGATGGAAAGTCTCTTTCTATTTACATATCCCGATAAATAGTTGTATTAAGTAGGGAACCTTTACAGTATCAATCGTCAGCAAACCGAAGTCCTGTACCTACTTTTGCATATCACAAGCACGTTTTACTTTATGAATTCCAGTGTCGTATAATAATACGAGCCCAATTTGAAGGACAGGGGGCTTTTATAGACCGCTCGCCTTGTTGGATCTGTTGGGTGCCAGGTTTTCGAAGTACGCTTGGGAGTGTATTGTAGCATAGTTTAGTATGGTATAGTTTAGCATAAGGTAGTAAGGTATGGTACAGTGTGGTTGAGTTCAGTGTAGGTTGAGATAGAGTGGGATAGGAAGGAACAGCACAGATTCTTCGATAATGCTGATTTGTCCAGCTGTTATGTAGGAATACGGCAGTACTATTTGTCTACGAACAGTCTTCAGGACTGATTGATGACTGACAGTATGAGATATCTACAATGATAGATGATTAGTAGACAAACTAATGTCAATCTGGTGTCATATATTTCAGAATTGGGCTGTAGCATCAGGACTAGGTACCTAGCCGCCTGCGCACCACATTGATCCGTACTCCTTGGCTCTATGTCTCTGCGTTGTTTTAGGTAGCAGGGTTGTCAAATGGCGCTAAAGTTTTGTCACATGTTTCCATAAGGGTGTCAAGTACTTGGGGCTATCAAAAACGTTGTTTGTTCCAATTTACAAATACTTCAATAAAATACACGTTTTCCATCAGCTGGAACAAATATTTGTGTGTTTGTTTTTGAGGGTATTGGCCACCAGCCATCTCTAACCTCATTTCTCCGCTCTGTCCACAGGCATTTTGGTATTTCCTGGGGCAGTAATCTTGCTCCTATTCCCTCGCCAACTACGTGGGCTCTCAGGAGAATCTTGTAAAAAGCGCCCATTGGTCGAAAGACAGATTTCAGTGCAAGAAAACGGATCAGCAAAACCAGACGGTAAGTATGGTGATAAACACTGTAGTGCTCACTCTCTTGATCCTTCAACCAACTTCGGTTCTTTTCCATGAGACTTACTTATAGGATCCCGCTATAACACCTTCAGTCGAGATTTGCTTTTTAGGTACTTATCCATTCGACATTCCACCACTTTCTTGAAGGCCGACAGTGTTCTTTTTCTGCCGACCGCAAATCTTTGACCTTACAGGCCAAATCCGACAAATTTAGCGAAGCTGGTTGGAAGAACAAGAGAGTGGCCGCTACAGTTATCCGCGCTTATTTATTAATCGGTTGGCTGATATCACCACTCTGTTTCGCTTGTGTTTCCATTGGACCGTCACCCGCTAAAGCAGTCCACAGCATAGCACCCAAGAGATCCCGTTCAACCGCAAACGATTGCATGATCTCTTCCCTGAGAGAGATTGTTTTCCGTATGTACTCATCTTGAGAGGGCTAATCTACTTCATTTCGTCACTAGCCCCTTGCAAAGCTGTGGCTTTGTTGAAGTCCTTCAGAGACTGCACCTTGGTTGCACACCCGTTAGGCGAACCACTCTTTTTGGGAGTTAATAAACGTGGGGTGTTATTCGGCCTACGACAAATCAATAGGTCCGATAAACCTATTCGCACAAGTGAGCGTCTCCATTCTAGTTGTCTATTCTGCAAGAGATGTGACGTATCTGTTAGAGAAGGGGATGGTCGACCCGACTTCGATCCTTTCCGTGCCCATCATCGCACTCGGAAATGTGCGATTTTGTGGCTGGGAAACTTGATAGAAGGCTTGTGGGAGAGGTAATGGTAAACATGTAAGGGAAACTTCCGGAGGTAAATCAGCTACCACCTCTGATTGCCGCATCCGTAGTCCCCTTGTGCCTCAGCTTTTACCTTACGCTCCTGCTGGCATGCGCCAACAATGAGAGGAAATCTGCTCTGAATGTTGTGCCCGGATATGCTAGGACGGGAGCTGCCCATTTGAAAGGAAAAAAATGAGTATGACCCGTGGCCACAGCGTCAAACCTTTTTCCCGCCACATCGCCACAAAGTTTCCTTTGCAGGGACCCTATACCCTAATACAGCCAATCGTTCTCACCATCATCGTCAGATGTAAGAACCGCGTACTTGTCGTACAGTGGTTCTAGCTGCATAATTTCATTCATTGGTAATTTGGGGAAGTGGAGTAGGTAGCTGCGCATTGGAGGCGGGAGCTGATAAATTGGTGCGTAAATGCAGCACTGGTGGGGGGGGGCTGGGAAGGGAACCATGGATTGAAGGCAATAGCTTGGGTGCACAAGCTCCACTGAGGGCGCGACTGGACGGTTGATGTGATGTGCGATTGATGCGATTGATGTGCCCTATCCCGGCGTCTCCATCCAGAGAGACGGCAATGACCAGCGCAACTGAAATTGCTTATAATGACTTTCATACTTCGCTACCGGGGGCGAGATGGCCCAAGTGTTTAGAGAGCGAATTTACTGACCGGAAGGTCCGTGGTTCGAACCCGACCTCTGCCTCTCGACTTCCCCTGTCTAGGCTTGGGCAACCTGGCAGTATCCCAGTCCTCGTGCTTCCTTCGGGTGGCATGGCAGCTAGGCACGGGAAGGGTGCTACAACTGAATGCTGCTACTTCGCTGCCAAGTCATTGTTTGACCACCCCTGGCCTGTTTCTACCGTTCGCTTAGTTGTGCCAATATTTATGGGCATACACCTACATCCCTCCAAATCCTCCTCCCATGAATGGATCAGATACGTTTTACTTTTTGTATTTTCTCTACATACGTTGCTGTCGTCATTCTTTAGACAATTTGGTACCTGTCCTCTGCTGAATAGTACCTGTTTAAGGACCCACTGTCGGGACACCTCGGAGACAAGCAAAAGTTATCCATGCCATATCATTCATTTAACTTTATTAAGGTCGTTCCCTTCTGCGTGTAAGTCGGTGCCAATGATGTTACGGGCGGCAGCGGCTCTGGAGTGACCGTCCGGAGTGAGAACTGACTATACTGAAATCCAGTTCATCCCCCGATACTGATCGCTGTAAACCGATCGCAATACGAACCGTTCCGTATCTATCGTGACAGTATTGATCCACCTCAAGGATGTTGCCACTTAGGGTCGGGTGGCAGGTCTGTCTCGTTTTTTTGCGTACTCTTCGTCGTTGCTGAATGCCACCTACTCAGCCTTCATACTTCTCTTTGTTCCTACTGTTAATCCTTTCTTCGAAAGGATCGCTCGTCAATTTGTTTCATAACTATCACGATAACGATTCGATTCTTTTCCCCTTTCTTCCCTATAACTCCTGTAGGGCCTATGAGCATCTCTAACCAGTTAAATATGATGGCTCAGTCCACATCGGAACTGCACAGTGAACTACCGGTAGGTGTATGTCTCGTTTCGATTCCTGCTACTGTTTTCGTTTTCCAGGTTTGATCTGAAAGTTTCGATTACTAAGTTTCTTTAAAGCGAATTCTGCTCGATCGTAGTGCGGCAAAACCCACCTTTCCTGCTTCACCCTCTTGGTTCAGTAGACCACATCGAAGCATGTAAAATTCCGCAAGAGATTCGTTCAAACGGTCTACCAGCGTGTTTGTTCCAACCTGTGATCGTCCATATCTACACGTTTTCACAGCGGAATATTATTCTCATCCGATTTCGCCCACATGTCGAAATAGCGTGACTGCTGTCATAAGCATCTGTCTGCCTTGTTTTGGAGAACCAGCGGTTCTCTGTACACAGCGACAATAGTGCAGCATCTGTTTTGTTGTTATTCGGCACAATAACCACAGTTGTGATCACTTGATTTATTCATATGACAAACGTTAAACAAGCACGACATGACTCGAGGTCACTGTGCAATGGCAAAGAGAATGACCATTCACAAGGTGATGTATAATGCTAATTACGTAGCACACGATGGCGTGTGGTGCTGAGCATGCTTTGTTTACTCGGAATCGATGGGAAAGCGCGTGTTCCATATTGTCGGTCGACTTCGTGACACACTGGAGGGGTACAGGGGAATCCGGTTGCGAGAGTGGTCTATTGTGCGCAGGTATCTTTTTAACGATGCACAATAGACTAAGGCGAACACTTCCCACTGTATGACTGGTTTGATAAACCGCTGGGACAGACAACACTACCGACTAGCTCGTACAGACGGAAACATGGATGGAATAGGTTCACTAGCTTTTCACTCCCTGCAAGTGAAACGCGAGTAATAGTTAGGTTGGAGGAAACGCACTTCCGTGATACCTGAAGTTGGTCCTTTGCGGTGTTCGATCAGCCACCCTAATCAAAGTGGGTGTCATAAGCCCAGATTCGGGTGACCACAGATTGGACTCTCATAAATCAGTTTCCGACAGTGCACAAACAGGAGGCCAATAGATAGAGGTGAAGATGTACACGAGACCTTGGCCTTTCTCCCATCATCATCAACAGTATGACATCAGTGTTCAACACCGATGCTTCGCTGCCGTACGTCATGGTTGTACGAGGGCCGGGATACTGCCAGGAAGCCCACACCTAGACAGGAGGACGATTAGGGTCCTCAACCAAAGCCTTTGGCTCAAAACCCTAACCGCAAGGCAGCGGTGTTTGGCGGGAAATTCAAATGCATTACCATTTCTACGGAACAAGTAGCCACATGTTCCAACTCCCAACCTGGAAGGCCAGGAGACTGTGTTCGTCAGACCTCTAACCATTGTGAGTGTCACGGGGACACTCCCCAGTATAGCTCAATGGATCGCTGATGTGCGCAAACCGTCACACCACGGTAAGGTCCAGTTTCTTCGTGACGGTAACTGTAGCTGTGTTGTGTCGCATAAAGACATGGGACGGCATGACGCAGTGGGGAAACGGACTAGAGAAGCGTTTGAAGAAACTGACAACAGGATAGGGCTGGGATCAGGACACACATATAGCGATGAACGCCTACTGCCGTCTTGTACTAACTACAGACTATTATGCACTAGTAATTTTGGGGTTTTGCGGGATAGGTTTGTTCACCGGAATGATTACGCCAGATTAGGAACACGGCCGTTCAAACGAGAGTGGTGTGACTATGAACAAATATGCACTAGTAGTTGGCCATGTAGTGCCCCCTGCATGCGAGCCGACCTCCAGTACAGATGCACGACATCGCCGTCAGCTATGGCTGACGTGGGTCAATTACTGATTGTCGCTCGTTCTGGAATATCTTTGTGGATTCGGGTCACGCGGTTATCCGTTACCACTTCTCCCAGCGCTTTTCAAAGGTGCGCCAGATGCACACACTTAGCCTGGCCATTAAAGAGTTCTTGAATGCCAATGTGACGCAAGCGTACCACAGCTATCTACTAAAGTCCCTTCTGATGTTCGATCGTAGTGGAAAGTACTGTCCGCAACCCTTCAAGACGGTGGGCGCGCTGTTTGTGGACCCTTATTGTGCAGACCAAACTGATTAATGACTGGCACTAGCTAGGGTTCGATTTGCCATCGGTGCTGGACACCAGTCATGCTTTTATGTACAACTGTTCAGCTTCCCACACCTATAACTTATGAGCAATCATTTAGAGTTGCCGCCTCCCCTTCACCATCTTGTTCTCTTGTGTTTACGCTGGGTACTGACAGTTCAGTTGAATGTACGCGCGACCCAGCGCAATCCGCAGGTGGCATTACCTACCGTGCTGAAGGGTCCGTCGGTCAATCGAGAAACAGATTATAGTCCGCTCTGGGGTAACTATTTTGATATTTACAGTATCGCGTGCCTTAAGATGCGTAAATTATGTGAATGGTTACCGACCTTCCTCGCGGTTGACTTCCCTCAATGTAGACGATGATGTTTTGGCAGATAAAGTCGGGTGTTATATGACATTTGCACGTAGCCCTCATTGTGACATATTCGGATGACCCCAGTGTATGTTGCCTTTAGGAATCAACTGTAAACAGACTGTTATTTAAAAGCGAAGGGATCAGGGATTTCGGTCACATGTTTTTTGGCGATAGTTCGTACGTCCCCGTGCAAATCTTCCACTGATGGCACAGTGTTTGTAGATGATTGCGCTGTTCTTATAGGCTGATGTTTTGGAGAGCATACGGACAAACATCCCACCACAAATAGTTGCAAATTATGATGGCTTGATCCACACGGACCCAGTTCACATGTTTGTTAAGCCCAAAAGGAGGTTGACTCACAAGGGGGGCTGTCATTAGGCCCTCATCGATTAAAGTATAGTCTGGTTTATACGTACGGCCGTAGTGTGGGATCTGGTCATGTGCGACTGCTTATTAGGTCTTGCGGCTACCTTCTCAAAGGTGATTCTGGTGCGGAGGTAATGTCTAACGTTGGTAGGTTAAGGTCCCTTATAATCAGCATGTGACTGAATTTCTTATTAAATGAAGGATGAAGCGTGGAGAACAGATGGTCATTCCCTATCAGCCGAGAGCCCTTCATTCTTTTCGGCTTCCGACTTGATGCCAGAAAGTGTCTGCTTTTGTTACCAATACTACATCGGCATTGCAGGTTTTCACAAAAAATGAACGATCCTTCGGCTGTGACACTAGGCACTGGAACGGCGACAACAGTCAAATATAGCAGGCATCCTCCGTCCATAGCCGTAACCTAAAGAAAGAACAAAGGCTGCTATACTATCAGGTTGCCCAATTCTAATCTGAAGCAGTCATCCAACCAAGATTGATTTCGAACCACCGACATTTCGGGACGAGGTGGCTCAGTGGTTAGAGCGCGAAGCTACTGACCAGAATGTCCGTGGTTCGAATCCGACCTCCGCATCTCGGTTTCACTTGTCTAGGCGTGGGCGACTTGGCAGTATCCCACCCCTCATGCTTCCTTTATTTTGGTCATTAGAGTTGCGCTTTAGCCATTGAGCTAACTTTGAGCCTAGTGACTGACGGATATGACTGAGGTCGTCACAGACACAGAGTATCTCAGGCAGTACAACTTCTGCATTCGTGATCCTTGCAATTAGCACATTAACTTGCACTGGTGCTTTTTCCAAGTCGAAGTTTTGTGACCTCATGTAACAGCCCCCCCCTCCTATGCATTTTTTGGCGGCAAATAAGTTGGTCTGATTTGGGGGTGGATGTGGTCAGTATGAACGAATATATTGTTGCTCATACTGAACCAGATTGGCCAGATGTAATGTTTTTGGGGAAACTTCACGTAGACCGTGGGATTGAAAGCTGCCAGTTCATAAGACATGAACCGAGTCATTTCGATTGTTCGGCTTTTTTACTTGTCTCTTGATTTTATGGAACGGTTTGTGTGCCCTGCTCTCGGTAGCATAAAGCGGAAGTCATCAGGTTTTGTTTAAGACAGTTAATATGGGTAAACAATCTCTGATTTTCTGATTGGAATTTAAAAACATCTCAGTGTCAGCGGAGACAGTAATTTCGGTCACCTGATGTGGAACAGAAGACAACAAACAGAACGTCAAGCAGGATAGATTCTTGTGGTATTAACTCAAATTCCTTCACTGTTTTGTGATTCTGTTCCATCCTCTGGACTGTAGCAGTCATGACCAATCATTTGATTGACTAACTGATTGATTGATTTAGCTGACGCTTGTACTCGAGGGAATGGTGCTTTCAGCTCAGTGTTGTTCGGCTGGCGATAGGTTTGTTGTTCTCTTTTTTTCGGCAAACTGACTTCGCTTCACTTGGATGTACTCCTGAATGCTTTTCACCACTGATGTAATTAGTTTCCGGTCGGCTCTGCATACCTCACACTACTACTACCTTTTTATCACGCAGCTCAAAAAACAAACGCAAGACGGCCATAACCGGCCACAGTGATCACTGAAAAGTCCAAGTGTCCGAAAGTGGTTCAGCTGATTATCCCATAAGTTACTGTACACCCGAATGTGGTTCCGTCCAGTCAGTATCCGAGTGTGTGACACGTTCTTACTCTGTTCTGCATACGAAGAGCTACGACGGCATCTGCGGCGGTGATGGATCAGAATAAACTTAGTCACAACGACCAAGAGATATAAGAAAACGCTCCCTCTCATCACTGCCCAGTGAAGCTTAACCGTAACACCAGGAAAGTACAAAGTGTCCTAGACTGAATGAAGAGCTGATTGCATCATATGTTTCATCGGCTGCAAGATAACCAATTTCTCCATAGTTCTCTTTGCTGTGTTGTACACAGGATGAGAATCGTTGAACCATGGCTTGGCGGTGAAGTTTGGAAATCGCAACGCGCGAATCCAGTAGTGTTGAAAGCTCCTGACTCTGTGGGTGGACACCCCAGGACGGAATGCCTAATATAATAAAAAAAACACCAGTGTAGGTAATCCAGTCCCCTTCCCAAACGAGGTTCATGTGCCCAAGCCATTGATTGCATTAGTTGTCCTCTGAAGAAAGCGTCCAGAGGAGCTAACTAAAAATAGTCTGTACTAAGAAGTTTATTTAATGGATCAGACAAAAACAACCCCTTCTGAGAGGTGTTCTCTTTCGAGGACAGTCCATCGATTAGGGAACATTGGTACCGCTTTCTCACTAACTGGTATCGAGATTTCTCCACCTTAAACGCGCCATGCCATTGCAGTTAGAGGCTGTGTGGGATATTTTACACGGTTTAGGGCCCCACTAGCGCGCTGGCCACGCCTGTTTCTATACTTGAATAATTTTCACATAACTAAGTAATTCGAGCGACAACGCGGTACCTATTCTAGTTGTTCCAATCGCAAACCGTCAGTAAACGTCTCATGATAAGTTGATCCCATGTTCTCTGCTGGACAGGTTTAGTTTCACTCAAATAGCTGCGTGGTGCACGCAAGGAGCGTGTAAGTTTCGTGTACATTGTTTCAATAAAAGTTTCATTTTGCTCTTTGCTGGAGAGGCGAGAAGCACCGTGTAGATGTTTCATCCTTTTTGCTCATCTCATGAACCGCTATAGGAATGCAGATCCACACCTTTTGGATGCCAGTTGGAGACTGTACTTTTCGGCTGTGAATGATCAGCACTTAGGATATGACGCTACACCCAACAGTCCACATCATGTGTTAGCCGGCTTGTCGCTTGGGTCTTGGGTCGCATCACTTTTAAATCTGCTGATTCGCCAATGTGTGGTATCTGGCTGCTGATCCACTCCAGTGCCTAGTGCCGGAAAAAAGACTCAGAAGGGAACACAACAGCCATATTCCGAACAAGCGAGTGCAAGAGCGTGGGTGCGTGTGAGTTTGAAAGTATAACGGTCTCAAGCTATTTATTGGAGGGACACTGTCTGAACTTGGTCCAATGCTGATGCACGCGTCTGGCTGTTGTACAAGGCTGTGACGTGCTGCATGTTGCGGGGGCGTTCTCTTACCTTGATCAACACTGACTCGCGCTGCCTGGGTTTCATACAAGGCTGTGAAGCGCTGTATATTTAGAGGGCGTTGTCTGTCGTCCAGTCAACATCTAGCAGAGCTGAGTGTCTCAGCAGATTTCGGGCATTCAGTGGTTGCTTTCAGGAATCTGACCTTCCTGATACTTTTACTGTCATCTCGTCCAAACGAATATACGCAAACCGATTTTTCATTTACTCGAATCCGCCCTCATCCGTCTCTCTCTCTACCACCCCCTTCCGAAGTCTCAAAGTCCGTGGAGCGATTATTCTCGACCTAATTCACGATCAAGAAGAACACCGTACAGCTGTGCTCCGCAACTTCGTTGTCGAAAGTTCGACTCCCCGGACAAATGTGTCCGTGAGTTTACATTTTTATCAGCGTTTGGTATGATTTGGAAAAACAGCAGTCCTCTGAGTTTGAGCATTCCAACAACATGATTTTCTTCGATCGATTGAATCGCAAAATCGATTAGTTCTATAAGAAAAGCCTCTCCGTTTTTGTTTGACACGCCTGAACATTAGCCAAGCAATGAAGTTTCAGTATGATGGACTTTAACGTTTCTCCAACGGAAACAAACAATGACGCGCGAAGTTCATCGGTTATATTCAGGTGGCTTACACCAGGCAGTGGGAGAGTTGCGGTGAAATTATGCTTTGTGGATGCTCATAAAACTACGATATTTTAGATAGGTTTACAGGAGCTTCATCGGCCGTAGTGATGGTGCCAACATCTTGTCTGTCTGGCTTGGACTTACTGCACATCTTCGTGGGCATAGTAACCAGATGTCAAACGGGGATCTCAACAATGGCGCTTCACAGCCAACACGATAAACGAAGGCACATTTTACTCAAACGCATACACACACACACACCTGACTAACAATCGATCACAGGAACACACCAACCAGAAGACACGACAGTAGGCCCAAATGACACAGCATTTGACTCATGGTCAATTGATTATAGAAATCCTTGAATGAGGTTGTCCACGGCAACCGAAACGTCAGCTTACAACATCTTATCCCACTGCATTGTGTTTTGACTTTCGAAAATTCCATGTAACGCACCACATGGCGGTCAGTCTCTTTAACATTATCCGAGCAGAAGTTTGCCTGGAACTCCTTGTGTATCAGTGTTGTTCAGAATGACTTGGCTTTCACTGGGCGCCCTGGGTGTATTGGAATTTTTCCCAACTGAACGCTCTGTTGGTCTCCAAAGGGGAGATCATTTGTCGGAATAAGCCATCATTTTTACAAGACGCGCTTCCTTGCTTACCGTGATAGTTAAAATCAGCTTCGCCAGATGAGTGTAACTCGTTTAATGTGTTTTTATTACGTCCCCATTATTCCTCTTTCCCCGCTCCGTTTGTGCCTTCCCTGTCACCGAACTCCATTTTTAACCGTCAATTTCTAGGTTTCTCGCATACCGTCCGATCACTTATCCGGAATCGAGTTTACCTGGTTGTCTGCCTATGCATCTGTTCCGAAATGTTTATGATAATAGGATTCGCTTCGTTTCTACCAAAATATATGGAGATTGAATATCATTTATCCAAGTCCACCGCCAGCGCGATAGCCGGTAAGTTCCGTTCGGTTCCATTTCCTCTTTTTTTCACTTGCCCCCTGTCCCTAAGCATAGTCATTTATGCTTTCATAGCTTATGACCCTCAACCGAGGAGCCTCCCTTATCCTTTGAGAGGAAGCTACTGGTCTGGTATCCAGTAGTCAACCGATAAAGTTCGAAAATGGGGACGTTTCCCAACATTGATCATCTCATTCATTTCCCGTGAGAACTGACTCCGGCTTGATGCCTTCCCAAAGGCCCTTTAGCTGTCCAAACCAACTTGGGTGTCACGGATGTGCGAATCCTGCTTCCGATGAGGGTTGAGGGATTTTTTTGAAATTCCACACTACAATGAGTTGACTAGGTGGATCAACCTTATGAGTCCTGTCAGGGACAAGACGGTGGAAACGAATAGAAGAAACCTGCTCCGGCCAGTAGTTCTGCTATCCGAAGACGAGGTAAATGACTACCTTTGACTGCCCCAGCCGAAGTCAAAAATGAGATAAGAACCGGGTGCTCTCATACTTCGCCGGAATTTATGCGAAGACACACATCATCTGAAAGCACGGCTACGTGCGAACATCAGGAATTTCACTCATAGTCTAGTAGCCGTAAGCGTCTAGTTCGGCCTGGATAAGTTCACGCCTTCGAACGGTTTTGACATCAACTTGATACTTTACTACTCCCATTTCGGATGAGTATGTTTATTCGCCTGTCCATCCGTATGAGCGCAATACGGAAACTCAGCCATTTCTCCGGAGAGTGCTTGCAATCATACGGTAGAAAATTATAAATTATCTCAGTGGTGCCGAAATCATGCAGTTGATCGCACTATGGGAACCAGGCAGCCCCATTATCACCATAAATGGCTAAATAAAATAAATAACTGCACAGCTGTAACACCCTTTCTGTATATAACTACCATGTCGCACGCAGGCTGGTATACTACCAGCTTGCCTAGGTTCAAGCAGGAACAGTTGAGATACCGGAGTTGAGTTCAAACCACGGACGTTCCGGTCAGTAAGTTCGTATGTTAATCGCTGAACTATCTCTCACTTATTGAGTTTTAAGCGTAGCGCCTTCTGGTATGCTGGAACAGCGCTGTGATGCTACATGTGATAGGATGATGCACGGACCTGTATACGTGTAATTAACGCATGCAGACTGTCATAAGCCAGAGTAACCAAACGAACATTACGGTTGCACTGATACACTTTTTGATGCTTTTGGGTAATTTATTTTGTATTGTCACTGTTGTTTTCGGAAGCCGACCAACTTTTAGCCTCCCGGTCAATCGAAATGGTTGTTCTGGAGGTCACTTCTACCGTTCCGTTTAAGTTCGGGTGCCCATTATCCGCACAATGCTCTCAGCTGCAAAACCTTTACGAGTGGAGTAAAACTTCCTACGCCAAAATGTTGCATTTTGTTGTGTATGTGCTCAAACCAAAAACCGTCTTAATCTACCTTCATATTTTTGCAGCTTACCACATTTCATTGCTCACTGGAACAACCATGCCTCTGGTTGAAAAGTTCTGTGGGATAATTTCCCAGCATCGCTGAGGCCTCGGGATGCCTAAATGGGGCTTATAAGTTTGGACTGGTACTCTCGATTCAGTTGCCCGATTGCTTTAGTCCATCAGGGACACGTCATAACTC